CGCGCCCACGTTTTATTGAATAGACAGTATTGTGTGAAAAAAGGCGTATTTTTCCAACACGAAATCAACTTTCTATGAATGTCTTCCTTAATTGCACACCCTTTTTCATCGATTCAACGACAAGAGGTTAACAGGGTAGCTGTTAATTACCCGCAATTGTTTGAGATGGCGAAACTCGAAAACTAAAAGTCAGTAAAACATGAAACTTCACAGGGTTTCTATCGATGCAATAACAAGTAATTATCATGTAGAATCATTAAAATTTCAACTTCCTTGCTGATTTTGTCCGCTTATCGACGAAAAGAAGTGAAATCTTGCCAATTGAGCAAAATGCTCCAAAAACCATGAACAGAGAAATGTTCGGATGACGCGGTGTCTCTGAAAAGCTTTTTGGGATCTCTGAGCTAGCACTTGTTGATTTTAGGAATCGGACTCCAACTCGGATGCAAACGGCATCTTGTCGGAGAAGACCTCTCAAGATGCCCACCATGCCGCGTGCTCTTGAGCAACATTTTTACCATCTCGAGCTGTATCAACTTATTGACGGTAGAGAGAATGACACTTTTCTCGCACATTGCAGGGCTACCGGGAACGTGACGAGCTAGTGTTATATTTCATTCATGCAAGAATTTCTGACCAGTTTGAAAGGGTCGGAAAAACTGTGAAGCTGCGGTAGTTGTTCTACCGCTTCCTCAGACGTGAATACAATTCTAATGTGGGATTTATCCTAAAGCCCTTGGCGAGAATTCTCATGGAGAGAGATCACCTTAGAAGATGAAAGGGAGCTGTTTGGCAGAATGCTCAACAAACGGGAGTTCAGAGCCGAGTGGAAGGATTTCTACTATCCAGAACCGATCAACCAATGAGAATTGATATATCTATTCGTTTTAATTTTCTTAATTTTCTAAATTCAAATTTCTCTTGAACCCTTAATTTATAACCTGGTGAGTAACGAATTTCTTTTTTCGATAAATTACTTTTTTTTAAACAATATCTACCAAGAGAAGAAAACTCCAAAATATTGAATATTGAGCTCTCCTCGATCATTCCAGGGATGCAGGCTAAAGATGGTATATTCCTAAACGCTCCACACTTGCACAAATGTTTCCATATAAGAAATCCAAGAAATTCAGCGCCACCAAAGCCAGAGAAAGAACTATTGTCAAAGAAGGAAAATACGAAATCAGAAAATTTTCATACTGAGAGAAGTAACAAAAAATTCATGTGAGGATCAAAGATGTTTGGAACGGAATTCGGAATTCAGAAAATTTTTGATCTTCGACGATCCCATACTTCTCAACTTCGAAGAAGAACTACTTGAAAATGAAAACAGTCTATGACTCTTATTTTTCATTACTTGTTTCTTATTTTAGTTTTGTTTCAAAAAATGTTGCATTTTATGCATACTTTTATAAGTTTTATATTTGATCTACCATTTTTATAAATTTTGATCTACCTTCCTTTTTTCGAATTTTTCAAATTTTAATCTACCTGAGAGATAAGATCTCTCAATTGGTCGCATATTGCTAATAGTCATCATTTTCCGTTCTTTCTTTCTTTCTGCCTGGTTTTCTGCCTTTTTTATTGTTGTCTTTTCATGATTCTCATTTTCAATTTTCATAACTTTTCAGGTAACAATGTCGCATAAGTTTGTAGCGTGTGATGCTGCGAGAGAGCGTAAGAACAGAGCGTATGCCTTCGCCAACCAACAAATCCTCAAGTACGCCTTAGTGAGTTTCTGATGCATTTTCGAAGGAAAATAACGACTATATTTTCAGGTGCAACATGCCTGGTCAACACTCGATATTGAGGATGAGTCGACTTGGGAGTACATCAACAGTATGGAGATCAGCGAATTGGAACGGAAGAAGTTCGAGGCGGATGTGCTCACAAACAACGTTCAATCAAATATTGTGAGTTTAATATTGGAGATTCTTTTTAAAATAGTAGTAGTGGGTACATAGTAGTACTAGTAGTACTCTTATTCTGAGCTCATCACGTCTGCTGTAAACACTAATAGAATGCCCTCCTTTACTTTCATCTTTGAGCGAATTTACCTTGGTTCCCGAGAAAAAAAATCAAAAAATTGTCAACTGACAAAATATTCAAGATAATATCAGTAACAGTTTGTTAGTTGACCACTTTTCGATTCACTTCACAAGAATTGAGATAAATTAGCTCAAAGTTTAGAGGATCAAATTGAAAAGTGTATTTTCTATTAGAAAGATTACGGTGTTTCAAAATTTGGAAACTTTCGGATTGGGTAAATACCCGTAAGATTAAATTTGTGAGACATGTAATAATTTCAGAAGTTCCTGAAAGCCGAAGAAAATCCGCTGCCACTTGTCGTCAAACTTCGAGCATTTCGTGGACGCGGCGACTTCAGCCAGCGTAACCAGCAAAGGAACAACAACTGGACACGTCAGAATTTCGCTCAACAACAAAACTACGACCATCAAGCTGACACTTTCCAAGCGCCCCAGAACTCCATTTATCCACTGCAGCAATACTTTTCTGGACCACTCCAAACTGTTCCCCCGTAAGTTATTCAAAAAAAATTCAAAGAAGTATCACAACAGACTCGAGATCATTGAGAACCACGACAGTTTCATTTATGCTAACCATCCAAGTTTTTTTTCAGGATGGCAGTACCAATCTCTTCCGCTCCTGTCGCTTATGTGCCAGTCAATCATGGCTACAACAACACTTTCTCAGCAGCTCCCATGCAAAACAGCTACTCCCAGAGCAACCAGCCAAATGGTGGTTATTATCCATCTCCAACCAAGTTACGAGACAGTGGAGTATACACAAGCTTAACATCGAATGGATTCCAAGGAAGTCAGAACATCCAATATATTCCAGCATCTTATCCGTTAGTTCTTTTTATTTTTTCAATATATAACATAACTATCCGTTTCAGGAGTGATGTTCCATTTCCTTCCGGTCCTTGTGGTTATGCTCCAGTACCTCATGGCAACACGGTCTCAACTTCTCACGGCTACTCACAGAGTAATCATCCAAATTGTGGTTATTATCCATCTCCAACCGAGTCACGAGATACTGCAGTATACACAAGCGCGTCATCTTATGGATCCGAAAGATGCCAGAGCGTCCAACAGGTTCTAGCCTATTCTCCGTAAGTTTATCTTTTTCTCAATTATCAACAGAACTTTTTGTTTCAGAAGTGATGACCCATACGCATCAGTTTTTTCTCCAGAAGCGTCTCAAATCCATGATTCATCACCAAGTCGTTCTCTCCGTCAGGATGCTTATCGGAAAGTGCAAACGGCGAATGCGAAGCCACTAATTCAAACCACCATCAAGGTTGAACCCAATTATGAAAGTAATCTGCAAGTTGTTTCCGGACAACACGAGGAACCACAGTTGACCGTTGAAGATGATAATGGCAACAAAGACACACCACAACAAGTGTCTAGTGACGTTGCTACTTCTTTAGTTGCACTTGAAAAACCGGCGGAGTTTATGGAATCGACTGATTTTGATACCGAAAAAATCGAAAAGCAGGACACTTCAGATGAGGCAACTGTGACAGTGGCAAAGCAACGTAATTCAGAATCTGTGCTTCCAACTGCACCCGAATTTGCTAAGTTTGTGGAGGAAGTCAAACCACTGACCATTGGAACTACTGTCGAAGATAACATTCAAACCACCACCGAGTTTGATCTCGGAAAGGAGAGTCCGATTGTAACTGATGATGTGTCTGGCGCATCCAATTCGGATCTGAATTGTGAGCTGTCAAAACTCGATAAATCAGTGCAGTCTATGAAAACTACTAATTTCGATAATGAAGAACTCAAAGATCAGTTCACTTCTGACGAGGCAACTCTGACTTTGCTCCCACACGCACCCGAATCAGCTAAATTTGTGGAGGAGATCAAACTACTTCCAATCATTAAAATTCATGCCGAATGTGGCATTCAAACCACTACCGAGCTTACAGTGGGGATGAGCAAGAAAATCATTGTGCTACAACACGAGGAACCTCAATCGGTCATTGGCATGAAAAATGGCAAAAACGACCAAAAACTGCAAATCAGCCAAGCAAAAGATATTGATACTCGTCCCAATGTAGCTGAGGATATGTCTGGCGCTTCGAATTGTGATACAAGTCCGGAGCACAATCCCTCGAAACTCGAGAAACCAGTTATGTCCACTCCAATCAAACCTTCTGATGTGGAAACTGAAGAACTCAAAGGGCACACTACTTCTGATGAGGGAGCAACAGAGCCAAACATTTCCGAACTAGTCAGAAAGTTGGCGGATGATGCAGAATTCCCAGCACTCACTAGCAAAACTTTGTATTCAGTTGTAAAGTGCTCAAAGGATGCCGGTGTGCCAGTCGGAGAAAATGACAAGCTTTCAAAGCCGCTGATGTCTGAAGTCTTGCTTGCTGCTATTGAGAAAGACAAGGGAACTGTCAATTCCTGTTTGAATGCTGTTCCGATCGTTCAACAATGTCCCAATCAAATGAAAAACAAGAACCTGACCGACACAGACGGTATAGCGACAAAATCCCAAAGCTCCAAAGCTGCGTCGTCGTCTGAAACCAGAAATAGTCAAGAGCCATTCCATAACAAGAAACCTGAGGCTACCAAAAACCACCTGCCAGCCAAGCAAAAACAGTAAGTTGATCAAAAATTGTAGATTCAAACATATTGAAATTTTGAGGGCCTCTACCTCGGAATGGGAAACGGTCAAAGTTTCGTCTAAAGTCTCCAACAATACAAAGAAGTTGGCAGTTCTAGCAGAACAACCACCAGTTGCCAAAGATAGAAAGAAGTGAGTTTTGAAAAAAATAATAAAGCAGGAAATTTTTTAGATATAAAGAAAAATAAAAAATTAAATTTACTTTCAGAAGTCCATCGTCCAAAGAGCTGAAAGCGTCGACAATTTCAACAACACTGAAAACCGAGCAATCGGGAAAGGAAAATCTTGCAGAGTCGAACACTGATAAACCAGACCAGCCTGAAAAATCCCAAACTTCGAAGTCCAGCCAAAAGAAGTCCATGAGAAACAAAAAGAAGGTCCAAAAAGCCAAAGCTGCCAGACCCTCGGTCATCGAAGATTTCGACACTCTCCTGAAGCAGTTCAAGGAAGAGGATAGAAAATCAGCGGAGAAAAAAGGCGAGGTCCGTGAAGTGGTGTTCGAGAAGGCAAACGGCAACAAGAAGAAGAGGACGATTCGTCAATATCAAGCAGAAAAATGGAAATATGAAGCAGAAAAGGAGGAGGCTAAAAGGAATGATCAGGAGCTATTAGACTCTGTCGAGAACGAACAAAAACAACTGGATATCTGTGTCAATTTTGGTCTTCCTCTATTTTTTGTAGAGCTAGATAATTGCGTAAAAAGTGAGTCGAAATCAGTTTTTTTAGCCATAAGGCTCAACCTTCTGTATTCCGCTGAGTAGTCCAGCTAATGTGCCCAACCCAAGTACACAGGGCGAAAGAGTGTATTTTAAACCCTATAAAAGCGTTTTTAAAATCACTTTTTCAGTGTAAAATCGGGAATTTTTAAACGTGATTTTCTTTTCTTCACTCCTAGGAGACTTCAGAGCTTGAAATGTTTTTGTTATATTTCAAATAGCGTGGAATTTCATATTTTTACCCTTTTCTCAAAAAAAAAAAATTCAAACTTGGAAATTTGGAATCACCGAAGTGTTCACAAATGTTTAAATTGTGCAAAATTTTTCTTTAAAAATGCTCAAATTTGACATTTCACTTAACTTCGAGCTCTGAAACCTTCTATGAGTCAAGAAAACCACATGTGAAAATTGCCGATTTTACACCGAAAAAGTGATTTTTGGTACTGAAACTGAAGTTTCAGCACTTTAGAGGTTTCTCAAGCAGATTTTGAAAACTGTTGTATAGGGTTTAAAAGACGCTATTTCACCCTGTATACTTGGTTTGGGTTAATTAGCCGGACTACCTAGAAAGTTCTGCTCTATATGATTTCAGAAAAATAACGGTCCGCAGTGAAAAAGCGGTCCGCAGTGAAAATAGCGGTCCGCAGGGAAAATAATGGTCCAAAAAGAAAATAACGGTCCGGAGCGAATTTTGCGTTTGGGAAATCAGGAAAACCCCATAAATCCTGTTTTTTATTGAATTTTCAATTACAAATCGAATTTTTATGTTGTTTTGTTAGTTTTTTTACGCCCATGTGTTCCCTACTATCATTAAGACAACACTATGTTTTATTATAACGGACGTAACTTATCCAAATGCT